CGTGTGGGCATGGAGGAGCCCTGCGAGGGTTGCAGAGGGAGCAAAGCACTTGTCATTCATGGTCCTCCCAGGGACTCTGATCCCTTCTTTGTCCCGTTTTGAAGTAGTTGATGTTGTCACCCCTATAAATAAGCCAAATGGGGCAGGACCTGCTCTCTGACCTTGAGGTTCACGGGTTGCCGCTGGCTCCTGTTTGCAGGAAATGGGAAGGAGGGGACCCGGGGGTGGCCAACCAGAAGACCCCCACCAGCCTCTTGCTGACGCCCGAAGGCGTCTTCCACAGCTTCGGGTACACGGCGAAGACTATTACCATGACCTGGACCCTGAGGAAGCCCGTGACTGGCTTTATTTTGAGAAGTTTAAAATGAAGATTCACAGCACCAGCGTAAGTCCTTGCTCCTGTCCCAACCTCACTGGGGGAACTGCAGGGACCTACTGGGCCGGACAGGACCTGAACGAGTCTCAGAGATTTATCCCACTTGGCATAAAGCAAAAAGAGGGGTTCATTGGGGTGGGGGGAGCAGAAATCCAGGAGGGGTGCTCTGGCTATCAGCATCCTAACCCTGTGCCCCCACCTCCCCATTCACTTTACACACAGAGCGAGGTTTTAAGCCCTTTGCAGGGTGGTGAATTTTTGGTTTCCCACATCTGAAAGTCTTCAGGGCAGGTGGATGCAGCACTTCAAGCACCCACGGCCCAGCCGGTCAGTTTGGCACGGGAAGGGGTCAAGGCTTGCCGACGGGGCCGGGGTGGGATGCTGACTACATGCCAGCACCCTGCATGATCCTTTTGCTGCTCCCTGCTCTTCCCGGCAGGACCTCACCATGAAAACCGAACTCGAAGCCGTCAACGGGAAGAAAATGCAAGCGCTGGAGGTGTTTGCCCACGCACTCCGCTTCTTCAAGGAGCACGCCGTGCAGGTAGGGCTCTCCCTGAGCTGTCACGCAGCCCACCCTCTTCTTCCTCCCCAGATATCATCCTCACCTTTCACCGAGAGCCCCGATGCTCCAGCCCGGGGGTTGGTGACTCTTGCCCGCAGGAGCTGAAGGACCAATGCCCGTCCCTGCCTGAGCAAGATGCCATCCGTTGGGTCATCACAGTTCCTGCCATCTGGAAGCAGCCGGCCAAGCAGTTCATGCGGGAGGCTGCCTACAAGGTGAGGGGGTCTTGGGGAAGTGGGTGCTCCTTCCCCCTCTCCCACCCTGTGGGTGTCACCTGCGTAACAAATGGTCTTTGGGACATCCTGGCAGCCCCAGGAGTAAGAGCTGGGTTCTGCCTGTTGGGCACGGGTTGATTTTGAGACCTGGCGTCGGGGGTATTTCGGATTTTGGAGGGATGTGGGCAGGACTGTGCACAAGGATGAGGGGTTCCCCTTCAGGTCTTGCTCCCTGGGAGGGGCAGGGGCTCACCCACCCTTGCAGCGCGGCCGTAACGGGTGGGATTGCCGCGCAATGTAGAGTGGGGGAACGTGACAGGGATGGGAAAACTATGAGGGATGCTCAGGGGCACCAGCACCTCCTCTGCCCTGACACCCCGTCCTCTTCACAGGCCGGTCTGGTGTCCCCGGAGAACCCGGAGCAGCTCCTGATCGCGCTGGAGCCCGAAGCCGCCTCCATTTATTGCAGGAAACTTCGCCTCCACCAGCTGATCGAGCTGAGCTGCAAACCGCCGGGCA